AAACTCTCTGGAAATTTATACATGTGCCGAATTAAGCAATGAATGTTGACTGTTACAAAACGTGGCGATCAGAGACGAACAGAATAAACAAAATAAATACACGATTACATTATTAATATATAAATTCTCGTAATCGAAATATCTCATGAAATATATCATAATCGAATGTAGTTTAGTTTCATTTCGAATGAAGGAATTTTGTAACAATGGTACACATGGTAAATCCGCGTATATGGATTTGAAATATGGAATAGGTGGGACGTGTTTACGATGTTTTCCCGATTTAGTCGTTTCAACCGATTTCCTGGGTCGCGAAGAATCGGGAGAATGGATAAAGATTGACTCGATTTAGGAGATATTGATGTATACGCCTTTGTGAAAGTGGAACTGAAAACTACCACTCTTGGAAAATATATACCGTTGGGTATGTATGTATGGCTGGTGGTTTTCCCCTCTGAAATCGGTTCACCCAATAATTTATGGGCTGTTGAATGTTGAAGAATCTGGAAACCGGGATGCATCGTTTAAATTCTTTCCCCTCGATAAATATAATATAATATAACATCTGTTGATTTATTCTTGGATTACACGTTTTACGTGTTTTAATCGCTGGAGCAATTATCTTAGAGTAGAAAAAAAGGAAAGAAATGAAAAAAAGTCTCCTTCATTTCGTACGAGATAAAAATTCTTCTCTCTATTCGTATTTCATTAGATTACGAAGGAATGAATTTTTTTCACGGGAGAAAAATACATGTCATTCTTTTTAAATCTGGACAATCACCTCGGAATTAAAATAAGTTGCAAAAAAAGAGTTTTTCGCAAGGTCATGATTTTTATAAAAATCTATACATATATAATTTTTCCTCTGAAAAGTAGGAATAGTTATTTCAATAAATAAATTGTATTTCCTTTTTCAAAAAAAAAAAAAAATAACGAAACTCTCTCGATAAATTCCAACAAAATGTTATCCGGTATTTTTTTTTTATAAATTCAATAATCGTTAAATAAATTTGATTCGTCTATTTCTCTCGTTCCCCTTCTTTCTCTGTCTCTCTGAGTTTTTGAGTGAATCATAATCGAACAATCGAGTTTTGAATTATCAAGATCAAGGAAAAAAAAGCATTGGATCCATCGACAAGTACGAATGATTAAACAGCGACTATCTACCTTCGATTTTTCAAGGACTACTTGTCTCCTGTTTTGTAACGTCAACGGGCGATAATTCGATAAAACAGACCGTCGGAACATCGGACACAAGTTTCGATCCTTGGTAAAATTCGATCTTTTCAAAGGTTTTTCTCCTTTCTCACCTCGGGATCCACTCACCTCGGTCGTGGAATTTGGAGCGCTTGTAGCGAATACAGAACGAAATTCACACCGTTTTCTATTCTATTCCTGGAAGGTTACCCGAATAAAACATCCCTTTTATTTATCTATCAATTTGTGGGAAAAAGTATTTAACAAAACGATCGATTGTTTGTAACAGTTGTTGAAATTAAACGAATAGAACAATTGCAATGATTATAATTGGAAAATATCTTTGTTTCCTCTCATCGAGGATAATCTAGAATAGAATCTTACAATAATTTAACTATTCAAGAAGAATCTATAGTGAAAAATTCATACATTAAATCTAAATATAAAATACTTAGAAGAAATAGACTACCTTCGTGACTAATCGTACGTGGAAAATATAATTATTTCTTTTTTAGAATTTAGAATTCATTACAATATACTAGTTGCAACATTTCACAAGATATAGTCATCTCTACATACATCTCTTCTTAAAAAAGAATTTATCATATTATTAAATTGCTTTGTGAAATAAATTTCATATCCACTCTTTTCGAATCGATTGATGTATGTTGAAAGAAATTTTTCCAAGCAAAATTTAGAATGGGATGGACGAAAAAAGAGTGCTCGAATAAAATTGCTCTTTCAACTTTCGACAAACGATATTTTTCATCGTTATGACGGAATACACGGAATGTAGAAATGTAGAAATCGCAAATCTGTCTTTTATTCGCGAATTAATGTATCAGTATTCGTTGATTTCGTTCGTGTCATGTAAAAAGGAATATCGATATTAATATCTCGTAAACAAGAGTCCAATGTCGGTCCAATGTGTATTTATTATAGTCATATTCGAGAACGATCAATCGTTTTTTTTTTTTCATCTGTCAGTTAATCAATAAAGAAAGGAACTGGAAACTCGATAGGCTCGTGTAACAGTCTTTATTCCATTAATGTTCCTCGAACGTTTCATAATTTCTATCATTCTTACAACATTTCCTCCTCTCCAATTATTTCAGAAAAATGAAACAACGAAAGAACGAACCTCTGTCCATCCATAATTTTTATTTGCTTTATTTTAAAGGAGTGAAATTTTTTCCTCTCGAAATTGTAATCCATTAAAAAAAATTGCAATTTCGATGTATCTCCGTTTTTAAAACGTTTCAATTGCAAGAAATTCTAATTCTAATTATTCCATTACGAATGGAAATAAAAATCTATATCTCGTGTAATAAAATCTCTTGCAAAGCGATACTCGGCAAAGAAGAATCATTTTTATAACACAAATTCGAGTTTCGTATCGATCCAATATCAATCCAATAATACGTATATATCATATATCGATATTCGATATCGATATTCAAAGCGAGGACACGTTACTTCCGTATCCATCTTGATGAACAATCGCAAATCCCTCACGTTTCTGGTACACAACTGTACGCAAACGCTAGCACACGTTCCGGAAACACGGGGGATCTTACATGGCGTATATAACAACATGACAGCGTATTTTTCAATTAGCGTTACTAGAGGAGTTCATTTCGATTTAATTCCCCCGTCGTCGAAGGATTAAAAAAATTAGTTAGAGCGAGGAACGAATGAAGCGGAATAGGAGGGGAGGAAAATGTCGATCGGATGATTACTAAGATATAAGGAGGAGGAGAACTCTGTTTCCAACAGAGTTTTTATCATTCGAGAAACAGTGGAAAATCTTAGTCGAGACGTGAATACGACGTAATCTTCTTAGTTTAATTATTCGGAATCCATTTGGAAAGTTGAAAGAAATACAAGTTTGATCATTGTGTTAAAATATATAAAATATATATATATAGCAATTCGTTTATATTTATATTTTTCCTTATTACGTGTTCAATTCATAATGTGAAATTGTAAAGAATTAACACACGATAGAATAATCGATGCGAGAGAATCATAATATTTTTGTGGAACACGATGATGTAATGGTATTGTAAAAAAAGTTCTGCAACTTCTTTATGGATCCATAGTGATCCATAGTTTAGAATAGATCCATATTCAAACATGTTACAAACTACTTTTACAAAATAATCATAATCAGTCATACACACGTATAACACACGTGTACTTCTATTTCATTAATTTCATTACTGTTAATTTTCATTTATAACATCACGCGATCGTTCGTGCCTAGAAACTTTATTTCGCTTCTAAAAAAAAAAAGAAAAAAGAAAACGTTTTTATAATAGCAATTCCGGTATACGGAGGAGGATAATCACGATCCGGTGGACCCCCAACCGTAAATAAAGTAGCCACACACGTGTACTATTATTACTATTATTATCATTATATTATTATATTGCAAGAAATTTCCGCGTTCACGAAATTTGCATATTATCGTTGAATTTGCCAAGCTTTAATGTGATTTACAGTTTAAACCTTGCCACCGACATCTGGAATAGTTGCGCGAGATAACACGTAGATATATAAGCGTTTATCGACCCCCTCTCTTCCTCATACAAGCCTAATTACAGCGGGGTGAACTTTCTGCAAACTCGGCGAGAGAAAGAGATAAAAAAGAAGAGGAGAGGAAGAAATAGATGAGTAAAAACATGGGCGGTACGAGAGATGCACATGGCTAAGATTCTTCTTGCCGAGCGTAACAAAAGAGTCGGTGCACCGCATCGAGGGAGCGTGGGTTGCTCCGTTTGCTCGGTGCAACAAGTCGGATTAACAGCTGTTCCTGGTGGCGTGTACCGTTCCACGTACTGTTCATGGTGGCTCGATTTGGCCGCGGTCCAATTTCGTTTTACGAGCCGTTTTACCGAACTTGGCCATCGCGCCCATGTTGGATGCCGCCAGATAAGAAACGCCACGCGAGAATAACTCGATCTGTTTAGATCTTTAAACATGCGTTCTAGGAACACGCGTCGGTTTCTGAAATTTAGTTAGACAATTCGAGGCTATGTTACGCGGCGAGGTGGAAGGAGGAAGCGAAGTATTGTCAACACGTTTCGAGGGACATCGGTGTCCGTAAGAGATTTATTTTGCGACGTTTAGGTTTTAAAAATTGTTTCAAAAAGAAAGGAAGAAGTCGTTAGAACTTCTGTTGTTGGATCAGGAAGTTATTATGTTAATGTTAACGTGTTCGTGTTACGAAACATGGATCGTGAAAATGGAAAATGCATGCGAGTTAAACATTGATCATACGCGTAATAATTGGTTGACGATCAGATTGCAATGGAACATTACGATTCCAATGAAAGGCTGTTGTAAAATCGGGTTGCAATCGTAAATGTTTTCCCGATCGTAAATGTGATCGAAAATTTCTGTTTCATTCTAATAGACGAAAGAAGTAAAAAAAAAAAAAAAAAAAAAAAATGGAAAGAAATAGAAGGGAAAATAACGTATTTAATAAACTGCTTATTAAATAAGATAAGCAATCTACTAATTCAATTTACTTTACAATTGTAATTTATCTGTTAAATTGCATTAACGTATTAATATCTAAACCGGCAGAATCTAAATATATATTTAAATATATATTTATTCAAAATCATCCCCTTTGTGTAATTTATAAATATTCTAAATGCACGAAAATCTCTCTTAACTCTAACATCCTTCATGTTCTAGAGTAGAAAAGTGGCAAAATAAATATTTGTGAAGATATGATCGTGACAAAATCGAATGGATGGCAAATAGAAATGTATAGAAACAGTGCATACACTTACCTCAGGGACGTAGGCAGAGCTTCGTGAGGTGAAAAATTTCGGAACGAGGTTTGAGACATGCACAGCAGTTGCTGTTAAGGACCCGTTCAGGTCCTCGTTGCGTTACCTCTTCTTTCTTTTCCCACGAGTCCCGTATCCTTGGTCCTTTTCTTCCCTCACTTCGAGTGTGGAACTTCACTCTCTTAAACACCCACGAGACGAAGCGGCATCGACTTTGCGAGCGGCGATCCTTTGTCTTCGCCCTCCAGTTTAACCGGAAGAGGCGAAATCACTCCTGTACCGAACGACGCTGTCGATTTCTCAGACACGATTCTCAGCCACCTGTGACGATCTCTTTGTTACCGTTCCCGCGAAGCACACGTCTCTCTCTCTCTCTCTCTCTCATTGATCTTGTGACATGAACCACGCGATTATCCACAGCACGAGGCTGCGACCGAGACAAATCACCGAGCAGCAGAGAAGCGACGCCGGTGCGAAGCGCTGACTGAACCACTGGCAAACCACCGAGGGGTGGTCCGTATCGTGCGGAGGTCCCTCTACGCTCTCCTTCCTCCCTCTCCCCTCTCCCAGCCGCCCAACCTCCCTCCCACCCATCTCGCCCCTTCCACTCTATTTCCCTTAGTATTTCTCTTCTGCTCTGTTCATTTCTTTTCCAACCCCTTTCCATGTTCTCTATTCTTCCTTCCACTTTAATCGCGATACGTTGTTATCCCTTGTTCCTCCTCGCTATCTTGCTTTAAA